ATTAATGCGCATTTTCTCATATACCACTGACAAATGCCAGGCATTGGCTTTCGACAGTGTTAACGTAATAAAAAAATGCTTTGCCTTAATGGTAAAACAGATACAACATCTCATTTGCACAACTTTGTATATTTTAATTAAATGAATCATTTTTTACCTTACTGAAACTGATGTGCCTCTTGGTGCTAAAGACAGGACAATACCAATTCTTGATGTTTCTGCTCATTTTGATTTCAGACATTTACACTTCATTAGGTATTACTAGAACATACTGTCCCACATTCAAGAACCCCGTGTCAGCTCATCATTTCATGCCTGGTGCTACCTGTGTACCATTCATCATCAGTAATATTAATGTCGGTCTTTCTACAGTAAACTATTTTCTTAGTACCTCTTAACTTTGGATTTTTTCCAGTTAAATTTTTTAATACCCAGATCCACATATGATTCGGTGAGCTCTGTATTTAATTCTCCTTCGGAGTCACTTGGAAGGATTCCTAGTTTTGCAGCAGATTCATAGAGAGAAATTTCATCTTTTAGTTCTGCTAGTTCTTCCTAAAACACAAAATTAGTGAAAGTCTTTTTCATTATTTTTCCTAGAAGAAGGAATCTTTGTCATTCTATCCATGCCTCAAAATTCATTTTAATGATCAACAGAAGGCAGAAATGCTTCTTCAAATACATTTTTGCACACACTAAAAATAATTTTTTAAGGCCAGCACATAGCAGGTTTCCCAGTAAACTGAATGAAGAAATGAGTGAAAAGGCAAATCCTCACACCTCACACCTCCCTCACTTACATTTGTCCTTCATGAAAAGTGTCCCTTGAGCTGAGAAGCTGGTGGCAGCACTTTTTGACTTACTAGAGTAGAGGACAGGGTAGTCCGCCTTGCTGAGAAAGTGTTTTAGCCTGCCAGGGGTGAAAAGGCAAAATCCCTCTTTCCAATGGAGGTAACACTGGACCCCTTTCTCTAGCTTACTCTTCCTCCAGCGGAAAATGTGAGTAGCGCTGGAGAAGGATGTGAGAGAACAGCAGCTAAACCGTAGGTTTCCCAAACATGTAGATAACCTTATCTCTGCGACACACCCACAGATGAAAAGACCTGCGTGTGGAGGAAGTGGCAGGCTCCTGGCAGGCGTGGGCAGAGCCCCGGCTCTGCAGTTAGTCAGACCTGGGCTTGACTACCCAACTGTGTGGGGGAGATTGTGAGCAACTCTCATGGCTGGTCTGGAAATAGTCCAGCCACCCTTTTACATCAAGAAATCCAAGGTTTAGAAAGGTGACGGTAATTCAGTTACCCAGGGTCTCTTCCAAGGGGCACCACTCACTTGCAAAGCCTTGTTCATGTTTTCGCTCATAGCGTGTGCCTTCTGTGCTTGCTGCAGCTGGAGCCGTAGCTGAGCCACCTCCTGCACGGAGCCTACGGGGGAGAGAATCACAGAACACACCAGATGTCAAGGGCCACAGCACCTATGATGTACAAGAGACCTTGAATCGCTGAGGCTACCGAAGAGGGCGTTCTGCTTTATTACCTGTTTATCTTTTTAGGAACCCAAAGGTACAGCCAAGGGGACCCAAAAAGCACAGGTCTGGTCCAGACACTTCTAAGGTTTAGCATGGCTGTGACCCTGCCATGAATCAAATCAGCCATGTCTACAGACCTTAATGCTTCAGGAGTCCTTTAATAGGAGCACACCATTCCCTCACAGAAATCCAAAGCGCAAATTCTTTGGAACCATTTCTACCTGCTCATAATACAACTACATCTTGCTGCCTTTAGCTTTTTTCTAAATGCTTTTATTCCACCACCACGATCTCTGCATGTGAAAGAAGCCTCTTAGGGTTCTGCTTCTGAAACTTTAGTACCCTAATATTTTAAATGCACCCGGGGAGGCTCCCATTTAAAACAGACTTTATTGAGTTTCCTCAAAAGAAAATGAGCATCTGGGAAACGGTTAAGCAAAGTAATGATGGCATATTATGCAACTCAAGAAAATCATATTTTCAAAGCTTTTAATGGCAAGGAGGGAGGCTCACTAAGTAATGCTATGTGAAACAAAAGGACGCAAAACTAAACAGGGACAGGGGATCCGTACAGCTCATGATCCAAATTTTGCCCCCTCCAAAACATACACACACACGTTTAGACAGTCTTTGACTTTAGAACTTTCAACTTTTGAATAACCCACTCTTACACACATTGTACCAACAGTCAGAATTGACTTTATAGACTGAAGTGTGACTTTCATACATCAGTTAATAACCATTGAGCTATTTTCACGGTGTGAGCTACTCACCCACAAACAATGCAATTTGGTCTGTGTGGTAACGTTTGTATAAACATTTGATTATTATATTGCCTTTTACTCTACTATTATTTAATAAAAATTAATGGGAAATAAAAGTACTTCTGAAACTAATGATAGGAAGCATGTTCTCAAACTTAATACCATGGAGACCATACGAGAAATCTTAAGCGTGACAAAAATGTAACTCACTGGCCTCAACTGACCAGGTAAGTAGCTAGTCATTGTGAGGGAAAAAAAAACTAAATGTTACACAAATGTCAGAACTACATGATCAAAGATCAAGTCTAAAAAGCAAAATATAACAGGATTTCATAATCACTTTGAGCTTTCAGAGCTAAAACCTACCATATAACATGTATTTTATTGTTCAATTTTTAAACATTCAGCCTTGGTATATTTTTCAAAAATGTACTATGTACAGAAACAAGGGATTGTCTATGCATGTGTGCATTCATTTCACTTGAAGGAAATATATTAAATGTTAACAATAGTTACCCCTGTGTAGGATTACTGGTTATTTTCATTTTCTACTTGGCAGTTGTTTGTGTTTTTCAAACTATCTAATGAAAATGCACTACACATTTATACATAGCGGGGGTGCCAAAAAATGTATACAAGCAGACACTTTGGTCAACGTTGCTCAAGCCTAGTTCACTGTAATCAGAAGTGTCTGGACGTTGATGGTAACCACTATGAGCACCTCTTATAATTGCAGAAGCCAAACGTGACTTGTATTCATCTTTTGTTATCAGTAAATATTATTATAATTTTAATAGTTTTTTCCTTTCTTAAAATGTGTATACATTTTTGACACCCTCTGTACATAATAACAATGTTAAAAAAAGTTGTCACCAATGATCTTTTCTGTCTTTTCATAATTCACGGATCCTACTATTTCTCTCTGCATAACACACTAGACTTCCGAGGATACAGTAGCCCACACAGACACCCACCCACCTGAGTGCAACAAGTTGGCGCACTGCTTTTGACTCTCCTCTAGACTTCTTGTCAATCTGTTAATGATCTCAGTCTTTTCTAATTTGGTTGCTTCTTGATTTCTTTCCAGTTGTTTCACCTGATCTTTCAAATGACAGCAAATGTCTTCCTAAACAGAAAAAGTGTTCAAGAAGTCATTTTCATGATCAGTTATTAAATATCAAACTAACAATTACAATACATAATTGGGTCTTAAGTCAAATATAAAATCATCACATGGCAGCATCACTTCTTTTACAAGGTTAAGTGTAAGGGACTGGGAGTCAGGAAAACAAGGTCACGTGATATTGGACAAGTCAACGTCTCAGTCTGGTTTGTTTTTTGTAATTATGCTAATGAAGGTTGAATTTGATGATTTCTAAAGTCCCTTTCTGCTCTACATTCACAAGACACTTATTCTAAAATTAGATATTATTCGAGCCAAAGGAGATGTGTTACATTCCTATTTGCATTTTACACTGTCTGTATAAGTGTACGTATACATATTTAGGCACACTACTCTGAACCATGGAATTTGTATCCCAGGACAGCAAAGATACAGATAAGCACATGGAAACTCACTCTAAACAGCCAAAAGCTCATTCTATTCTGAGCAGCCCCAAATCATCTCTCCCTCTCCTGAAGTTCTTTTAAGCCTCTTCTGTTTGGCTCATGTTTTTCTTTCTACCTTTTACATGTCTTCTTTCTCTTAATAGTCTCCTTGCAGATGCCTATGCAGTGCCTAATATATAGTGTGTGCTACAAAACAACAAAACTTAAAAATAAATGACAAAGAAAAACAAACAGGGTGTGTGTGTGTGTGTGTGTGTGCGCGCGCGCGCATGTGTGTAACTGTATGGTGATATATAGAAAATATAGAGCGTGTATATAATGTGTTCAAGTTTCTTCAAAAAGAAAATGTATTTGGAAGTAATGACTAATGGAATCCTGAGCCCGGGTAAAAGAAATCATCACCTCTCATTCAAACAAGGCTGCTCAGGCTGAATTCCAGGCAAATAGAGCATGGGAGAGGCAGAGGAGTTAATTAAGGTAACTGGTTAAAGTTACCTGAAAAAGCCTGAAGAAATAAATAGAAAGAGGAATATCAAGAAAGGGCTTTGAAGCAGAGAGAAGGCATTTGGTGGCCTGATCCATAGGATAACCTAAAGTCCAATAATGCCTTACGGACACCTCAGAAGGATACGGACAGTATCCCTAAGCGGAGGAAAGGGGCTCTGAAATCTCCCATTTTAGCTGCAAAATTCATGAGAATTTTGAATTCTATTTCATGTAGCCATGTTTGCTTTAAATTTTTTCTACCAAGTTTTTGAGCAAAATGAAGCTCTTGGAAACTGGTCCATGTTTATTCAGCACTGCAGACCTCTTGGCACACCGCTGCTGATTCCCAGGCCAGCTTGAAAGGCCTGGTGCTAAAGCCCCAAGTCACATGGCAAACACAATGAACAAGCTAATATTAGTAACAGTGTGGACGCAGGTGCAAGAAGGGGCAGGGGGACAACTAACAGCTGTGCGCTGGGGAGATCATAACAGATCTTACAAGACACTGAGAATTGATAAAAGTTCAAGAAAGGTAGATACAAAAAGCATCGTAAACAAAAGGCAGATTGGCAATAATTTTACCATACGCGACAATCAATTAAATCATGTTGTTTCCTGTTGACATGTTCAGGGAAACAGGTTATACTCATAAAACTGTACAATTTAAACACCAAAAAACAAAACAGAAAGAATGGTTCCATCTTTTCCGTGAGTCGCTTGAGTAAGAACACGCAGTCCAAGAATGATAAAGGCAGCCATCTTTTAAGATGGAGTGAGACAACTGTGGTGATAAAGAGATAACAGTTGAATCCATGGGAGCAAGGAGAAGTGATTTCTAGTGCACCGAAAACTGAGGATTAGGCCACACACATACACTGAGGTCTGTGAGAGTCCCTTAGCCATAGAGAGTGTTCAAAGTGGAGCCCTTAAATACAAAATTAAAGAAAAGATAGGAAATAGATCAGGTGAAAGTCATGACATAGAAACCAAAGTCCAGGACTTCACCAAAAGTGGAAGATTTCAGGAATGAAGACCAGAATGAATAAAGATTTAAACCATCAAGGAGATAATCAGAGATCTTCACATGATGCTTCTGTGAATCGGAGGACTTAGAAGGCAGTTTGGAGAGATAACCCAGGGATCTTAGAGCACGACACTTCTATAAATGGGAGAGAGACAGGCAGTTCAGAGGGAAGAGTCTTGGAGATACTTTGCGATTAGCGAGTTCTGTCACTGAAGGAACACAGTGGGCTCCAAGAAGCTCATTTCTTCTCTTCTCTGACACACTAAAAAACCCAAGAGGAACTCAGCCAAACTAAAAAGAACTATTATAATATGTTGTGAGTGCATACAATCCTTTCTACCCAGAAAACCTGGAGGCTTAAGGAAAACACTAAATTAATAATATAATTTTATAAGTCATATATTTCTCAAAATATACTAATTACACAGACATTCAAAAAAAAAAAAACCAAACCAACTATATCATGGATTACTAAATCAGACAGTCCCCATGTTGAATTTTGTCCTCTGAAATATAGTTAAATATACATAAAGCCTGTTTACATC